AACTATACATCATCCCAAAAGGCTAATTAATAATTGCAAATTTAACAAAACCCGGAAAAGTGGAACCGAAATAAAGTGCATCCCAGATATGATGGTCACCGCCAGAGGACCAAGCCTCGAAGCAGATTGGACAAAATATTCCGTCAATTTCACCCGTATTCAGCTCTCCATTTTCTCCATCACTGTCACCCTTCAAGGACGCCGTTTCACCAGCTTTACCTCCATCGTTATCCCTTCTCGGGCTGCTGCTTCCAACTTCGCCGTCCACGGTGACGTCATCTTTCTCCGAGGCCAGGGTTTGGACATCCACAACTTCCGCAGCCGTCACGGAGTTTGTACTGTTGCCGTGATTCCCGTACAGCCCCGGGGGTAACGTCGTACCGAAAGGTCCGATTATTCCGCCGCCACCATGGTCGCTCTGGTCCTCATTTTGGTGGTCATCCTCTTCTTCTTCTTCTTCTTCTTCTTCTTCTTCGTGGGGATCGGACAATGGCAGTTCTTGGATTCCATGCTCTTCCATATAATCCAATAAATAAGCCGGGTAGTCAGGTTTCCCCCCGCGATCCATAACGATGGGAATTTGGGAATTAGGGTTTGGGAAATTCAAAATTTTGATAGGGTAGTTGTGTGGGTTTTGCCAATTTACGATTGGGGAATGAAGGACCCATGGGGGCGGGGGGGGGGGGGGGAATTATTTTGCCAAAGCGGGAAACGTTTGATATTTTAGAAATTGGGAAAATTGCAGAAATCCCCAAAATACTTTGGTAAATGTGATAAATAACCCCTTACCCTACCTTTCTTAACGTACCCGTATTTCAGCTCCTGTCCGACACTCGAAAACACCTACCCGACAAATGTCGACCACTTTAAGGGTCATTTTACAATTTCTGAAATGTTAGAACATGTTTGTTACAAATATTTTTGTTCATTTCCTAATTATTTACATGATTTAACGATCAATTATGAGTTAATAGTGGATAATAATTTTTTTTTTGAATATATTTGGATGAATCTTAATAAAAAGAATTAATGTATAAATAAAAATTTATGTATTTATAAATATATCCATATACTTTTAATATTTACACATTTCTTATTTTTCCGTGTCGTGCTACATAGGCAGTGTCGTGCTACATAGGCAGTAGATAATTATGTAATTTGCATTAGTATTGGGCCGGGCCAGAGCTGGTTCATAAATTGCAAAAGGTATTTCGTATTTTCTTTTTGACACATCAAATGCAGGCCGAAATCCGGACAGTATGTTTTGTCAAGTTTTGAAAAAATCTAATTTCAATTATCTTCCAGAGTTACAAAAAAATCGGAAATCGGAATTTCAAATTTTATAATGAAAAAAAACTATTTAAAAATTCGAAATGAAAATAATTACCAATGTTAAATTTTTAGATTCATAATTGTCAAAATTACATTGAATTCGACTTTGGCCAAATATTTGGCAGCAACTACCTTATCATAGTATTTTATATATTCATTATTTAAATGATCAATGTAATAAAACTTGCATCATGTCATTGCACTTTGGCAATAATTTTTCTAAAGAAACATATCCCAACGGGTGGGGAAAATAAAAACAGGAAACTTTGAAAGCAACAATTTGATAGTAATATACTTATGAGTGGACAAAGAGTGGCAAGCTGACTTGGACACAATCTTTATGGTATTAGTCTCGTTTGGCTGACAAAATGAGATTAAATTCTCTAATAAAACTCAATATATTATTGAATATTTGATGATTCAATAAAAAAAACGTACATAAAAAACAAGATAAGATATGATAACATAATATATGCGGATCAACTCGATAAGTTATTTAAGATATCAAATATCGAACAAAGTCCAATTATTTAATTACTTTTGACTAATTAATCTATCATCGATAAGTTAAACATACATTGGCTTTGGTCCAATATTGAATATTCCCTTTATTTAATATATTGCAAACTTTATCCAAACATTGAGATTCCAACCCCATTTCATAAATAAAAAATAATAATTTTTTTATTGGTTGGAACAAATTGCATAGACTAATATCTTTTTGCGGTTTGAAAATTGCTATTTGGGGTTTATAACAAAACTCCAAAAAAAAATACTTTATTTCACTAAAACTCCAAAACTTTCCAAAAAAATCAAAAAACCCTCCCAAAACGCGTAAAAGCCCAACTTGGGCGTCCATTCATGCAGTGCACGCCCAAGTTGGGTGTGCAAGCTGCATTTGGACGCCCGAGTAGGGCGTCCAGTGTAATTTTTTTTTTTTTAAATGTTCGAACGCCCAAGATGGGCGCCCAAGGCGTGTACGAACGCCCGAACGGGCATTCGTACACGCCTTGGGCGTTCGAACATTTTAAAAAAAAAAAAAAAACCCTACAAATCAATTTGTAGGGTTTTTTAACATGAAATTGCTTCCGTAATTGACCTATCCAATGCATATTACACATAAAAGAGTCGAAATTACATCAAAAAATCGAAGCCCAACCCTTCTTCAAGCTTGATTTCGAATTTTCGATTTTGTTTTTTTTTTTTTTTTTTTTTGCTATTTGCAGTTTTGGGGGATTTTTTGATATTTTAAAAAGTTTGGAGGGTTTTGTTATAAACCGCGAATAGCAATTTTGTGACCGCAAATAACATTTTCTATATCAAATCATAGAACTAGAAAATAGAAATTGGTTAAGGTTCAGTTTAAAATCTTGCTAAAACACCACCTAAACTTGTACATATACCGAAAAATTAGGTTATTTACTTAAATAGTTAATTAAACAAAATAAAATAAAATAAAAAAGGAATCCCCAAAAATCTATGAAAAGCATGACACTTATCAGAGGGGGGCAACTATTTCAAATACTAACTTTTGCTTACTTGAATACTACCAAGTTTAAAACCAAAATTGAGTACATATTTATCAGTTTTTTCTTA